AGTACCTCCATATCCAAAATGGCACGCAGCAGGGCTGTCCCCTCTCCCCGCTGCTCTTTGTCCTTGCTCTTGAGCCGTTCTTGGATGCAGTGCGGGGAGAACTTTTGGATCTCCACAGGTTAGAGACAGTCTTTAAACCATTCATTGATGCCACTGAAAACTTATGCCAGCCTGAGACAGATTATGCCCGTGTTCACCTATTTAAGGAGCAAGATGGATGTCTTCCTGAAAACCATGACATTGTTCATGGTGACCCTCTACATCCTGATGTACTAGCATTGGTCAGGAGGCTGAAAGATCAGCTTAAAGTTTGCCTACTTGAATAAGGTGGATTCTCATGAACTAATGCTAGTGGGCCTGTGTGATCCAAGGATGAAGGTGAAGATAGCCCTTTGGTCCCTGAGCCTAACAACTTGGAGGAGGAAAGAGTGACTGACAGCAGAAGAGGGAAATGAGAATTTGTGAATAGGCAATTGAGTGTGTAGTTTAACCCACTGAGAAAGCCAACAGCAGAAAAGAGAGTAGTGCCTTGAAAATGTTCAGAATTTTACCTTTGTCCCTTATGTTGACCCTCTTAATTAATGGGATAGCAAGAAGAGTGTGTTTCCTGCACTTGTATTGGTTGCGCAGGAACTACTATGATGTCCATCAATCACTGTCCAAAATTAGTGTGTGTTTTCTGTAACCGGTAAAATCCTGAATCTACACGTCAGCTCATCTAATGGAGAAGATTGTCTTTCTTAAATTATTTTTGGCTGGGTGGCTGACCTGAATGACTGGCCTTGATGGCGGGCAGGCTGGCTAAGTGGCTTTAATAACCTGCTGTCTCTGGCTCTGCCTCAATATATTCCAGTTTTGTCTGGAAATTTGTTATTTTAATTGGCCTTTTTTTTCCAATCCCATGATTGTTGGTTTTGAGTTTTAAACTGATATTGTTGACACTTGGCATGTTGGCCAGGTCTTTTTTCAGAGGAAAGTTTAAACTGAATAGTACATATCAGAGTAGTCAAGAGAATTATTGGGATAGGATATGTATTCATTTAACTATTTTAATGTTACATCTGTTGAGCAAGCACTGACCAGAAGCCACATAATTAACCCAATGCAAATAGCCATTTCACAATATTTTGTCCATTCAGACAAAATCCAGTCTTTAGCGACTAGCCATGTAAACTAATATTAGATCTATCTTTTAAATCACTCCTCTTCCCAATTACTAATATCCTACAACAAACATGTTCTACCAGTTTTCTTTCCCTAACTAGCTAGGTGGATTAGTCTTACTATGTCCTTTTCTGACATTAATATCTCATTGTTATTTTTGGGGCTCTTTCTACAAGGGGAGCTACATTCATTAAAGGTTTTCAAAGCTGAAGGTTCCCTCTCTGACATTCTAAAGGCCACCTATAGGTCTTCAGAATCTATCTTTAAAACATTTTGTTTTAGACCTTTTTCACAGGTCTGTATTATAAAGTGTTTTTCTATGTATGCTGCTTTACACTTGCATATTCAGAGCCTCCTGTCTGACATGAACTTTTATGCCTAAAAAAAATATTGATTTTGTTTAGGGCAGGAGGTGGCTATTATCCCACTCATTGTCTACCCTTAATTTTATTTATTTTTTACTCTTTTTACTTGCATATGCCAGATGTTTTCATTGGTATATTTAGATGGACCTTTGTTTAATCCAAGTGAAGGTTTTTTCTGACACATGAAAAGGGTTGCCCTGCATTATGTATAATGCATATTCTGAAGGAGTCTTCATTGCCTAATCCCGTAATTGCAAGATACTTTCATGGGGGAACCCAAGTGGCACTTGGCACTATAACTACTACAGCTTGCTGTAGTGGTTATGTTGCTTGGAGTGTTTATTTAAATGGATAAATACACCATTGCAAAAATATTTATTGTCACAATTAACTGACACAAAATCATATTTTTGGTCAATATATGTCTTTGGGTTTAATATTATTTTGGTATCTTGTCTGTTACTTTCTTACTCAAGCATAAACTCAACACAGTTATCATAATTCCATGTTTCGTGATTTTAGATTTTCCGTGTTGAAGAATATGCATGTAGTGGTTCTCACAAAAAATAAATTTTAAACAACCTTGAGTAGTACTGTAAATCTTTTGAATTGCTAGTGCATTTTAAGTCATAGAAGCCTTTTGTGTTACATCCCAATTAATTGAGTTCATTCTTCACACATGACAATTTACAATATGTTACAGATTCAGAAAAAGTAGAGTAGGTCAAAAAAAAGATAAATGTCTGGAATTTTTGAATAATAGCATTGATAGGAGTTCTATCTTGTCATATAACTCTTTCTGAACGGGATAGTTCTATTTCTGTGTTACTAAAATGTATCAATGAATAATTTTATGAACTTCTACATTAAAATGTATTCACTTGCAGCAATGTTAAGTTTAGCAGTAATTCATAAACTTAAACACAATTCATTGCACGTGTGCTTATCTTCATTCTTAAAGAAGTGCTCTAATTTTAGAAATAGAAACCTATATTAGTGACAGTTGAGGTATCTCTCGACTTGTAAGATTTCTGTACCCCTGTGACACTCAAATAAAGTGATTTTACTTACCTTTTAGTCCTCACTATGCTGATGGCAGTGGCTCCACCATTGGCTGAGATAATCTATGATGATTCTCTCAGCCTAATGAATGCCTCCTGATTTGGAACCATTGATGGCTAATGTGTATACTCAGCAATAACTATCCTCAAAACAGTATTTCCTCATAGAGCTGTGTTAGCTCAGGTCATCTCTGTGTAGAATGTTTGGTGTCTTTATGCTCTGTAGATTGCAGGGTCGCATCAGGAAGTACTTTAGTTGACCTTACAGCTTAATGTAAACACTGCTTTTTCTAATTATTGATGGTGTTTACAACTGAGAGACTGCAGGTACAGTTATTTGAACCAGAACAACTATATTGAGCTCTAGGAGTTTGGGTTCATAGATTTGGTTCCACTATGCCTTTAAAAAAAAGGGGTTCAGGGTCAAACTGGCTATTGGGCAACCCTGGCAAATGTCCACTGCCAGGTGGAAATATCTGAGGATTTCCCCTACTAGCCTTCCTGCTGAAAGCAACTACTTTCTGTGCTGTCTTTGCTTTGGCTGTATCAATACAACTCAAAGGCTTATCACTGCAAGGAAGAGAGAAATCTTATGTGCCCAACCCTACCATGATGGATTAAATATTGTTAATTAAATATATGTTTATTGAGGGGCTTAATTTTCTCTTTGGAGAAATGGCAAACTTGGATATATGGGTACCACAAGTCATATGCATCTAGCCAGAATACCTACTGTATACTTCAACCAATATGAATATAAAACATTTCAGTGTTAAAGCGAAGAGAGGAGAGCTGTTCTCTTTTGTGATTATGACAAAGTCAAATAAATGAAATAATTTTGAAACAAAAGTAACATGTATATATTAGACTGAAAGAGCTTAGCAGCTGTCAAAACCAATCTACCCACATTGCAACCCACTTTGAAAATGTTTGTAATCTTCATGGTAAAATAACCTTCACAATGTGTAAATAATGTAATATTGTATAAAAAAATCTAATTATTTAATATTATATAATAATGTTGAAAAATATAGAATGAACCCACATTTTAAAGAATGTATTAATAGTTACATAATTTATTTTTGTTTCCAGAGCATAAAGTCATAAGAAAATCCTAAGTAGGTGACCTATTTCAATATGCCAGAGGGAAGTCTATTGGGTCTTTTCTTGGAAACTGAAAAACCCAAAGTTCCCAAATTTGCATTCAATATTTTTCTTCTTATCTTTTTAAATAATTTAAAATAAAGAAGAACTACACATCACAAACTCTGTTATAGCATACAAACTATGTGTGTGTGTGTGTGTGTATATATATATATATATATATATATATATATATATAAGAGAGAGAGAGAGATTATCTACAATTCTTGGAAAAAAATAAACAGTATATTCTATAATAAGTGTATCTCTACGTAGGAAAGTACATTGAAATTACCATAAGGATATATATATTTCAAAGGATATAATTATGGTGGTATAACTTGTCATGCTTGAAGATAAGAAAATATATAGAATAACTACATATGTTGTACAGTAGATATATCATTGATGGGGTTTTTTTTAGCAATAATTAGCTGCATATATTAAATCTATATTAAATATCATATACTCTACATCAGAGGAAACCATCACACCTGATGGTTTGCCAGCATTATGGTTGTAAGAACATTGTGGGAGATGTAGTCCATAACATTTGGAGTGCCGAAGGTTGTCTATCCCTGTTCTACACTATATGAAAATCATGTTGCCTAAACCAAAATTATACTATTGTTTTAAATAATTGAAAGTACAAGGAGTAGTGCAGGCCTAATGTGTACTTAATATTTATATAAATAAAAGCAGGGAGAAAAAAAGGGAAAAAAAGGGAAATATATAGTGTAGTATGGCACAGTCCAAATAAATAGAATAAAACAAATGAAATGCACTCACAATTTCCTGGAGATAAAATTGTAGCTCCCACTTGAACGCTTGGGCAGAACAATCCACGCCTATGGATATAGTGTGGTTCTTGGTGGTTGCAGTCACTCAAATGGTGGAAACATAAGCAGCTCTGTGGATATGGGCTTAGGATATTATAGTGTAGTGCCCACTTGTAAGTATAGATGATGGTCTTTTCCCTTCTGAAATATAGGAGAAAAAGGAAAAAGAAAAAACAAAATAGTGTGTACCGTAAAGCATAGAATACAATTAAAGTGGTGAGAAATTTACTCACATTTGATGGAGCAGCTGTGGACTGCTCTATCCCTCTGGCTTGGGTGCTACAATCCCCACCACGTATATGGTAGTTCAAGCAACATAGCAGCAAAGGTTGGTTCAATAAAAAAGTACTTTTATCTAAAGGTAATTAATAAAAAAATATAAAACAAGAAAAAATACACTCAAAATGAGGTAGATAATAATAATAAATACACTTGATGCATTTCACCTGGCAAGAGGCTTTCTCAAAAAAAAAAAAAACACTTTTGAGAAAATCTCTTGCCAGGTGAAATGTGTTAAGTGTATATTATTATTATCTACCCCACTTTGAGTGTATTTTTCTTGTTTTCTATTAATTACCTTTAAATAAAAGTACTTTTCTATTGGACCAACCTTTGCTGCTATTCAGCTTGAACTACCACATCAGAACATATCAGCTATGAAGAAAGGTTAACAAATTTAAACCTCTTTAGTTTAGAAAAACGTCACCTGAGAGGGGATATGATAACATTGTACAAATATATTCCGGGGCAATACAAACCGTTTTATGGAAATCTATTTAAAAAAATGGACTTTACATAGGACACGAAGTCATGTGTTTAGACTTGCAACAAAGAAGATTTTGTCTAAGGCAAAGAAAAAGTTTTTTTTAGTGAAAGAATAATAAGGATGAGGAATTCTCTGCCTGAAGAAGTGGTTTTATCAGAGTCCATAGAGATGTTCAAACAGCAACTAGATGCATACTTGCAAAAACAGAATTTTCAAGGTTATAATTTTTCAATGTAGGGTAATAACTTCTTGATCCAAGGATAAATCTGACTGCCTTCTGGGATCAAGAAGAATTTTTTTTCCTAGTTTGTTGTAAAATTGGAAGTGCTTCAAATTGGTGTTTTTTTGCTTTCTTTTGGATCAATAGCAAAAAACAAATGTGAGGAAGGCTGAACTTGATGGACGCAAGTCTGTTTTCAGCTATGTAACTATGTAACTATCTATCATTGCCATTGATAACCCTAGAAACACATAATATCTAAGAGTTTAGATATACTCTATGTTGATTTGTATTAAACACAAGGAAATTTTAAAATGAATTGCTATTTTCATCTTTAATTATTGTGGATTTGTTTGTGTGTACTTTAATGTTTTATTTTTTTAAATGCATAAAAACAAATGGTCCTGTTGCAGTCTGAAATTATAAAAATAAAAAAGTGTTATAAAAATATTTCTTTTTTAACCAGTGTTACTGGTTAAACTGGTTGACATCTGAATTTCTGGCATTGTTTTGTAAATTGCAGAACTTCTACTCCATTGACCTTTCTCATATACTATTTTGACATAAGGAGAGTGTATATAAGGGTTTAACCCCTTAAGGACCAAACTTCTGGAATAAAAGAGAATCATGACATGTCACACATGTTTGAAACCGCAGAAATAGTTAAAACACAGACATAACAAATTGAGTTTTGTAATACATAGGAATTTGTTTAAAGGAGCAACAAAGAGGTAAATGTGTATCCCTTTTAATGCATTATATAGCTAATCCATTAAATATAAGGAAACAAAGTGGACAAAAAAGATACCCACCTTCAAATTCCCTTCTGCTTCTGCTAATACATTTGAAGTACTAGTACTTTCAGACCAGAAAGTATCTACACTAAGCCTCTCATCTGGCTTTTGTTGATATCCTTTCCTCTAAACCCCTGTTCATCTAGAGTTTATGTAATAGATAGATTAGCCTCCAGCTAAAATAATACTCATCTCAGAGAATGAGTGGAGATGATGAATATGCTGATGGCAGCCATATCATTGGTTCTACTAACATATTCACACCAATGTTCACTGTTTGCAGCAATCTCCTTGGCCACCAGTGTACATTTGCATGGCTGTGGCTTAGGCAGAAGTAAGGACACTGTACAATGTATGTGTAAGTTTGATTGCAAAGGAGGACGTTACATTTCTTCTTTGATATCACAGGGCAGTCTTATTGCTGCATGGATAATTATAAATATCCGCAGTTGTAAGCCACCATGTGTGAAGAGACTGCGACCAGAAAATGTTATGCACCACTGTAGCAGAGCTCCAATACTCCAAGTGAATATCTCCACTGAAGCCCTCTGAGGTTGGGAGAAATGCTGCTGTAATGATTATAGCCCACCTTCCCAAGCACTAGATGACACTTAGTGAAGGGTAGAAAGACAACATTTATTAAAAACAATCAGAACATCTATTTGTAACCCCAACAGCCTCATTTATTTACAATAGATTTACAATGGTATCCAATGTCAGTATGGACTTTAGACAGAACCAATCTCACTGCATACCCCAGGCCAACCATTAGCAGCATGGACTTAGGATAACAACCAATCACACTACAAAGCTTACAACCATTGTGAATGGAGCCCTGTACTTACCAGCAAGGGTGGGGACAGAACATAACTGTCAAGATTGGGTAACCCACACACACACAGAGTATTGGGAAACAGTAACCCGAATGAATGAATAAAAAGAGAGGGTACATATAACAGACTTTAGAATGGTGGGATTAATGTGTGTCCTAGATAGGTGAAAAATACAAAGTCAAAATAGGAAGCCAAGGTCAAGGACACTAGAGATACTCTAATATGAAATAACAAGCCAAAGTCAGAGAACCAGAAAATCAGAAAAGTCAAATACAAAGTCAGTAACAAGAAAAACTAATAACAACTCTCGGACAGAATAAACCACAACAGGCCAATGATCTCCAGAAAAAGAGAAGCCTCAGAGGGAGAACAAAAATCTTATTGGACAGCATCACCACCCTACACCAAAGCACACAAAGGTTTGTGATCTATGAAGGGCAGATGATGTGTCCCAATAATATGACCTTACACTTTATTGCTATAAAAAGCCTACACCTACAGGGTCGTCTAATTTCCAAGAACTCCTGTAGGTGGCGCAAAGCTGAAAAATGATCAGGAAGCCTTGCTAGAAGGCAAATCATGCAGGGGCTGCTCTGCATGAGGAGCAACCAAACACTGTATGGCGTTTACTGTGGCCAGGACCGCGTGGCTGCTGCACGACACCCCCTGGAAGCTGCATGTGCTGCATGGCATACCAAAGGCTGAGAACCACATAGAAGATTTAAAGGAGTGTCAAGACAGTCAGTTTGAACTGGTCTAGAAGTGATCTGGAACAATAGGACAATGCCATGCTGGGAGAACAATAAGACAGGGAAAGGGGGAGGGGAATGGTACATACAACCTGGACAATTAATACATTGTCCAAAGACACAAATACACAAAAAAGTAATAAAACAAACCTCACAGAGACAAACTGGTACAAAAACAAATATAAGAAAAGCTATGTAGTTTGATCAACATGTTATTATTAGCCAACCTATTGTTTGCCTTTGTAATGTGACCATACAACCATAAAGCACTGAAGGAAAGTTCAACAATGCAGTTGTTTAATTCCATGATAGGGCTTTAGTGTAGGCCACTTTGGGAATATATTTCCATCTATCTCATGGCTGCATAGTTTTACAGTTTTCAAAGCAACCCCCATGGGTACACTGGCCATTAGAGTCTCTTTGATAAGGAACTCCAGGAAATTATTAATGTTACAAGTACTTGACATTATATGGCCATCAATTATGTTGATATATTTACATATATTTCAGACAAATCTGTTATTAACTAACATTCCCAACTATTTTGCCTTTAGTGGCTTTGGAATTATTAATCCCCAGGTTATCTGTGTCTTGAAAGAAACACTCTAAAAGTTGATTGCAACCCTGCCCCTTACCATTTAGACCCCAAACAGTTATTTACATTTAGCAGTTAATATTTTGTCATTAACCTATACATACAAGCTATTTTCTATGATGTATTTTACATCTGTAGAAATAAGGAGTCATGCAATGATTTAAAAAGCTGCTGAGAATGCTGCCAGCTGTGATACTTTATGACTAGTGTGGCCTATTGTATTATTATTTTTTTTACGTAATAACCATTTACACTTCCCATATGTGAAAGGGACATACAGGATGCATTTTGAGACATACTGTTTACCAAAAGCAAATGAACAATATTCTGTCAACAGTTTCTGAGTATTAAAATTTGTGAACATTAAAGAGGAAACAGATAAAGAAATATCTGTTTCTACAGTGGCCCGTGAAAATCGTAGCCTTTATAACAACAGAAGATGTCCAATATAATGCATGTGTGCCTACTTTACATATTTTAATCCCCAAGTTCCAGAAGTTCTGCTAATATAAGAAAATATAAGTAAAAAATACCTTGAATACTCCTACACCGTCATCTTGAAGAAAAAAAATGTAATCTTAATTTAATGTATATCTTTTTGACTGAAGATGACCATATGATGTGCTTTACATACGTGGTCAAATATATAGTCATTGATTTAACTTTAAAATATTTCAAAATTAAAGTAAAACCTTTGTCTGTTTTGTGGCTAAAAACATGTTATGCATTCTTTTATTTGTTGTATAAGGTATGTTAAATCCACTATCAAAATTGTATATAAAGAACTGCAAAATATCTTGACAAGTTGTCTTGTAGGTGTGAAGCACAATTTGTCTCTATGCATGCTTCATTTCCATAATACGTAACCTAGCCCAGTAAATGTATCTATAGATCTATCCAGGTACAGAGCTACTTAGAATTCAGAATATATATTGGTAATCAGTTCGTCTGGGCTGTGATTCTGAAGAGTTATATATTTTATTTGGCATATCCAATGAATGGATGTGGAAAATGTTGACTTCTTCTAATTAAAGGCATCAAGTTCTTCATAAGGTGTCATTACATCAAATGTCCAGATTAGGTCTGTCTTTCCAAAGTAAAGACATAGAATGTGGTGTGGTGTGTATATATATATATATATATATATATATATATATATATTTATTTGTGTTAGGGGCACTGTAGCGGATGGCACTGGGCTGTCCTGCAAATGTCATGTGAATAGTTGCATTCGTGTAAACTGCTGGTTTTATATGTGTTTAAAAGAAATGTATTCCTCTGATTGTTCGGTAGAATCATTCGAATAAACTAAGGGAATGAAACTACCGAACAATCAGACCTCCCCTGTGTGAAGTGTGTCCTCAATTACCCGTTGCAACATTGTTGTGAACGGGTAATTGACAAGTTAAGTAGCCATCCTTTGTTCTCGGTGGTGGCCGCCATTCGACAAACGAACACGTGGCATTTTAAAACTCCCGAACAGCGGTGTTTTGCCGTCGAGTGTCTGGAACTCAAATCGGACACTCGACTAGGCGAACACCGCTGAAACCTCCACAAGCCCGGT